CTTCCTTTACCAGGTTCCCAAGTTGGTGCATGCAGAGAAGAAAAAAAGCCAGGGGGTAGTGTCACATTGCTCAGAAACAGGGAGTCCTGCTCAATGACAGCAGAAAAGCAGGATCAAGTAGGAAAACACCAGCACCCTGGAAACCCAGAACATGGCTGAGTTTTCTGCTTGGCCTTGAGTGGAGGGAGGGACCCGCTCAGCACAGAAGCCTCAGGGCAGGTGGCAGAACTGGCAGATGCTGCTAATGAGGTGACAGAAGATGGAGAACTTTTTATTCCTTCCAACCAACTGTAGGAACTTCAAAGTAGGTTGATCAAGTAACTCTGTCCACACCAATTAGGTACTTTCACATGTAAGAAGGAGCTATGGAAGCAACACATTTTTCACAGCTAACCTTGGGCCACAGTACAGGGCTTATCTAGGCAGAAGCAGCTTCCATGCTGATTGCAGTGAGCTTCAAGGAGACCCTCAGACTAAACTCCCTTCACTAATTTTGTCTGAAGACACAAAAAAAAAAATCCCCCAAGGCTGCTGCACATTATGAGCATTCCTGGATTTTCCTTTTGTTTCCCCAGCTCCCAAACACTCCTCTCCAGCATTAACACTTTCCTTGCATCTCCCTGCCTCCATGAGCTCATCTCTAGGGAAACTACTTCTCAGTTGGACCCAAGAGTCTATAATTTCCTTATTGGCTTGACAGAAACACAAACAGCAACACTCATCTCCACACAGGTTAATTAATGTATTTAAATTCTTCCCCAAGCTCTCACTTCATCCCTAGGGGCTGTTCAGGCTCTAACAAAGACTAAGTCTCTGTCTCCTTGGAACTTCTTCATGGTTGGTGCCTTCTCCCCATCTTTTCTGGCTGGATGTTCCTCAGGGCTGTGCAGCTCTGCTTCATGCCTTACACTGGTGTTGTCATCCAACTAATAATCTAAGTTGGTAGAAGAGCATTTTTTTGGCTCTACCTTGCCAACCAGTGCAGGAATAGCCCATTACACATTACACATTACAGGCTCCCAGTCACTTGCAAGGTCCAGTCAGAGCATAAAAGACGTGTCTCATTGCTTTTTCAAACAAGCAACAAATACTCCACGAGGTGAGGACACACCTCTGAAAGTCAGTTCCATGAAGGATGGAGATAGATGCTCCTGTACTGGGTGTGCAGCTTCCAGAACAACATTGCCTGCTACAAATAACAAATGATTTCCTGGACTATGGCTCAAAACTTGTGCAAATCCTGCCACCTGATCCTACTGAAGTCAAATTTCAGGGTGGGGATGTTTGGCATCTTTTCTAAATCGGAAACTTTGAGGATGGCTTGAAACAGTGCACCCCAAAATTACCCTTAATTTGGAAAATCATGGCAACAAAAGTAAATTTGGCCCTAACAAAGTAGGATTTGGTTCAGTTCTGCTAAAACCTAAAGGAGCAGCTGTACCGAAATAAGGGAAATAACATTTAATCCAGGAGCAGCTCTCCCTGCACCAGGAGAAATGATGGGGAAAATGTTCTTGTACTACGTCATCCTTCAGCTTTTTCCTGGTCTTGTAAAACATGTCACCGGAGGCAAGAGAAACCAAAGGTAGGAATATTTTTCAAGTTTCACATCTGAAGTGCTGTGGAGACAGCAGATTGTCAGTTTTTTATAATTCAAGGAGAGTGAAGCTCCCATGATCCACCAGGTGAGGAAATGTGAGCAGCTGGAGCTGGGAGCAGGACTGGGGGGCTGAGGCTGCTCCTGCTTCCCATGGACCCGCCGGGTCCCCGTGCTGCAGCTGGATCATGGGCTTTGCTTCTTCAACTGTGCAGCCAAGCTCAAAACACACCCTAAACCTCAAACACACCAAAACCTTTAACAGTTCTCTAACTATAGCACCATTAAAAAGAAAGAAGAAAGTCGTCTGGAGAAACTTTTAACACAAACAGACCAACTAAACTACTCGAGGCTGGATTCCTGTTTACGAAGCTCTGGTTTTTACATGCAAGCCTTTGGAATTTAATTACTTTGATTACATTACAACCATTGAGATAATTGATATTTTACAGAGAAGCTGAACAGTAAAACAATTTAATAGGCCATTATGAGGGTCTGAACTGACCCAATCTTTGTGTTAGTTCCCCATGTGCCTTGGCCATCCTGTAATCTCTGTCCAGGCTGAGCCTGTCGGGTTGCCAAGAGACTTTTACGTGTCACGTCAGGCTGATGCCTTGCAAAGCCCAGCACAGGGTGCAGCATCAAATGAGCCCACAGCAGGAACCCTGTCGAGCCCAGAGCAGACATTGTAATACTCATTAATTACTAGATGAATGTTAGCTATGTCATAATTAGGTCAGCAGTGTTTTTAAGCAATATTACAGCGAGACTAACTCTGGAGAATTACTTGGTTAAAAATAGTGGAGTCTACTCTGCTGCTTCCATGCTGTTCCCAACAGTTTGGGAACTTAGTTTAATCAATGCAAATCTCCTTTTTCTCTACAGAGTTTGTAATTAAGTGAAGAGCAGATGAGGTTGTTCTCAGCTGTAGCACGTGGAGCTGGCAGGGAGTTTGCAAAAGCCAAGGCAGCTGTGGGCAGAGCCGGGGGGGGTGGCAGTGGGACACAGGCAGCACCCAGGGACCCTGCAGCCCTTGGGCTCCTCCGTGGCACCTGGAAAACCTTTTCTTTATATATTTCAAGACCACTAGTAGCTGGTTCCCAGATGTCCCAAACTTTTTGACCCTTTTTTGGCCACATTTTCAATAGCTGCAGGTTCAGCTCACTTCTGACCACTTCCAAACTCCTTACCTCTCCAGGTGTGAGAGCCTGGGGCAGCTGAGAGCAGACACTTCCAAATCCTGATAACTTGGCAGACGAGTCCTGTTTGATTTTGGGGAAAAAACTAAGTCTACGGAGGCAAACAGGACCCAGGTCTCTAGTAACCTTTCACTCTTGCGTGCAAAACAGGTATAAAACGTTTTCATGTTGCGTTACTGTTGTTTAATTACTTTGTGCTCACTTAAATAAACTGAAAAGTTACAGGACTGCAGACAGCCAGGCAAATCTTACAGCATCCACAGAGTTAAAGACAAAATAACAGGTTTTACCATTCATCATGAATTTTAAGGTTAAGCTATTATTTCTCAAATTCTTTTAGAAGTGTTTAAATAGTAATAATGTATCTTCTTTT